AAATATCAACTTCCAAAAATAGGCTTTAGTATTTGTTTGGCATCCAGCTTAAAAAATAAATTTTTTTTTTGTACTTGTTTGTTTTTAATATTTTTAATATTTTTTTTTTTTGGGTTCGTCTAATAAAAAAGGTAACAAAAAATTCACCAAAAAAAAGTTTAAAAATCCAATTGTTTTTGACATTTTTTTGGGTCTGAAATAGAATTTTTTTCATTTTTTTTTTTTTGGCTTTATCTAGTTGAGTAAACGTCTATAACTTGTAAAATCTAAAAGACAAAAGTTCACAAAAAACGAAAAAAAAGTCGATAAAAAAGCTCATCCCACAATTAATATGATTTTCAATAACAAAATTATGAAAAAAAAGATTGAAAATTTTAACATTAAACACCCAACAAAGTTTTATTTTCTAAAATAGTCTTTGTTCTTTCCATAATTATTAATTCTATTATGGTAGTAACTGATTGTAATTCCATAACTATTGTTATATTAATGGAATTCATTAGGAGAATTTAAATATTATTTTAATTTAACTAAATTAGATTTTAGACCAATTGTAAGATGACATATGTATTTTGAAAATTATAAAATTTAGAAAATTGAAAGAAATTGATTAGCACTTCAAGCCTCAAACAGACCACAACGTTTTTACTTATATTATGTAATGTATAAAAATATTATCTAAGATAGAACCATCTTAAATTATATGTCATATTCTAGTCCTAATCTTACACTTAATCTAATTTTTTTTTAATAATTTTGATTAATTAATAAATTAAAATTTTATCTAATTTCAAAAGAAAGCCTAAATTATGCTTTAAAGAGCTTATTACTCAGCTCACAGCTCACAATTTGCAACTATTATGGCATAAAAAAAAATTATATCTATATATTAAGGACAATTGCAATTCAGTGCATTTTTTAAAAAAATAATTATACATTCATAAAAAATTTATAACTTTAATTATTAATGTTGATAAAATTTATCACCAATGTATAATTATATGGGCAAATTACACTTTGCCCCCTCAACTATCACCGTTTTTCACTTTATCCTCTCAAACTAAAAATTGGTACATGTCCCCCCTTTCATTTTTTGAAAATTTTCAATCTAACCCTTATATCTCTATTCTGTTAACAAAATTGACGAAAAAAGTGCATGTGATGCAAACATGTCATATTTATGACGAAAAATATATTTTTTTAAATATATCATAAATATGGCATATTCACATTACATACAAATTTTTTTGACAGTTTTGTTAACGTAATAAGGATAAAGGGTTATATTGAAAACTTTAAAAAGATAAAAGGGGTATATTGTACTAATTTTTAATTTGAGAGAGTAAGTGAAAAACGGTGATAGGTGAGGGATACCTAATTATATTTTTAAAAATATACTGATATGTAATTTACCCTATTTTTGAACCACCTGTTAACAAAGCAAAGACCATCCCTTGTATATTTTTGGTGGGCCCTGCTGGCCACGGGGCCAACTAACATAATCGTAGCTTTTGAACTTCCCGCGAATTTTGTCTGACTGTTTAGGAGAAGAGAGAGACTCATCTCTCTCTCTCTCTCTCACAATTAAACTTTGAAATCTCATACATAAGCAACGTATATAACCACCGAAACTTCCTTGAACCCCCACTACCCATTAGAGTTCTGGGTACTCATTTATTCCTAATAAAACTCACTCATCTTGGATAATGCAGCCCAAATCCATGGCTTCACACGATGGTTTTGCTTCCACAACCCTTCAAAGTGTGAGCAAAGACTTCCCCATGACTTTTCTTAATGATGAATTGTTGTTTGAATAGTTTGTTTTATTGGGTTCTGTTCTGTGTGTATACAAGGTGTTTGATGTAATGCATATGTGACTGCCTCGCTTGGCGTTGTACTGTCAATTGGATGTGTAATTGAAAGAGCTACCATTAAATTCCCAAGTGCTCTGTTTGATGAACTTGTTTGTGCCTGCAATCATATTGATCTAGAGATGGCTTCCATTGTTCCGTGTTCGATCATTGGTGGTATGTGAACTTTGGTAGAACTTCATGATATGTTGCATTTTGGTGTTTATTTATTATCTTGGAGTAGGTAATGAAACTTCTTGTGTAATTTTCAATTGTCTTTGCAAATTTGCCTCTATATCTCACTTGTCAGTATGTAATCATCTTATTCTATTTCTTCAAGTGAATATGTACTACCCTCAAAAGTTGTGAAGCTATATCTTCTAGACATTTAACACAGGGTCGAAATGATCTTGTAGTATCCTATTCATGTGTTAAAACTTAGTTGAATTTGACCCTAATTTAAAGAATTACAATTAAAAAGTAGAATGATTGGGAACAATAACATTCTCAGCAGAGGAACTTGAGGCTCTCCCATTTTGTGCCGTTGTTTATGTTCTCACTGGTATACCTGGCTGTCTTATTCGCTCAGTTCCAGCACTCAGATAAAGCTTGCTTGTAGTAATTGGTTAAGTTCTAAGAAGCACATACACGGTCATGGGCATTGACACGTTACACGGCGATTTTAAAAAAATTAGGATACAAGCACATCATGGATATGACACCAAAAAAAATAAAAAATTGGAACTTTTAGGGTTAAAACGAATATAAATAGGATCAAGTGGTTAAGTCCTATATATGGTACCTACCATTAAAAATTCTTATATTTATTTCTTTGATTAGAGTTCCAATCTCTCAACAAAATTAGGTTTGAAAAATATTGAGAAAAGAAATAGCTCCTTCTAGCTTTATGATGTACATAAGTTGAACTGGAAAATTTGTTGTGCTTCGCACTCATTCATTTCATATTACTTTTTTCTTACATATGTTGTGCTATATGGCAGAGGTCAAAGTATCTAAACTCGCATGTGCATCTGTAAATAGATGCAATGGGAGTGAAGTAGGACTTTAGAAGGTTATGTGAAGGTTATATGAAGTCTAATTTCTCCCCCCCCAATAGCCTGATAACATGTAGATTGAGCTTACCAACAAATCATTTAAGGGCAGTCTAATGAAAAAATAGCCTTTTCAATATTGAATTAGACACAATCAGAGACAAAGATATTGACCTTGCAAAAGTTTGTCCCTTCTACTAAAACAAGCTTCTCTATAACTCTAATCCTAGTACATTATATTATGAGAATAACTGGTATAGAGAGATTTGATAAATAGCTTGAGTGAACAATCAATAGTAGAAATCATAGAAATAGAGGAATTTATATAGAATGATGAAGTACTGTGGATGCTTCAATATATAGGCTTTAGTTCCTTTAACTCCTAGGTTATGAAATAAAAATAGCAAATTTTGTAAACTAGATATTAAATAATATGGTGATGATGTCATCATCATTATAACTATCATTGCAGAACTAAAAACATTGAAAGTGATGAAATACTGATGAAGAAGCCATTTTATAGAAAATGTATCAACTTATTCTGTTTTATGTTTGTGTGGAAGTGGAGAGAGAACACTCTTGCGGTCCAAACAAGCCTTCAATCTTCCAGTCGTCGCCTGAAATAGAAAAAAAAACTCTAGACGATGGTGCCAGGATAAGCACTTTGACGGACAAGTTAGTTCCAGTATAAGGATCAGTGTTTTAGGTTTCTTCTCATTCAAGATTTTAGCACATACCTCTTTGTTTATTTTTTCTGCTCCTTTTATAGAGTCCCTTCACCTCATCCCTCGTTCCATCATTACTTTATTTGAACTCACTCCCTACCATACTACCTCGAAAGGAGTGCTGGTCCCAGTTAATGGATCAATCACCGATTTACCCGATGTACTCGGCTCTATTTGGCGGAGAGCTAAACGGCGATCCCCCACTGTCGGCAATGGTTTGGTCTAATGGGCCTTGACCTTACTCGGCCCATACGTAGATGGCCTGGAAACTCCTATTTGGGTTTATAAAATTTATTTGGCCCCCACAATGTTAATTTTTTATTTTTAAATTTCAACCCGCCTCGTACTGCCTAGTTGTCCATTCTAATGCTAATAATTCCCAATGGATCATTTTAAATTTCCATTGGTAGTAAAAACTCACTCCATTTTATTATATCTGATCTGTGGTGAGGAGACAAGTTTAAGGGCATATTTTGATGGATATCTTTTAAAATTATTCTTTCTCTCCACTTTTCCATATTTGATTGAATCATGGCTTTCATTATGTTTGATTTCACACTCAAATCTTTTATTAATTGCCATTTCCTCGTTGGGTTTTATTAAAATCATTTAGTTATTACAAATAATATTGTAGAACATCTTGCAAAGAAAGCATCGTGCCATTTTTGGAATGTGTGAGAAAGGGACATACTAGACTTCTTCTTGTATGGATAATTAGTGAGTGGTGTGCCCTGTGCTATAGAGAGTTACACAAATTTGGAAAGAATTAATTAGAAAACCATTTTTTTTGCTGTGTTGTGGTCATTGCGGAGAGTTAGGGATGATTTAATTTTCCAAAGTAAACCTGGGAAATTGGAATTGGTTGATTTGATTAAGGGTTTCTTTTTGTTTGAAAGCCCATGCTTCAATTAGATAGTACTTAGTGATTTTATGATGAAACCAAAAATTGAGAAAATATAAAACAGAACAAACACACAAGCACACAATGATTTACATGGTTCGGCTATAAGCCTACATCCATGGGCGAAAAACAACAGAGGAATTTCACTGTGAATGTAGAGAATACAATGAGCCCTCCCTCTCATTACAACCTCTCTGTACATAGGATTATCTGGGTCGAGTTTGAGGCATTTTCACAACAGATGACTTGAAGCAACAACAATCATGCTCCATTAAAACCTTAATTGAAAATCTCAATGACAATGTTGGAGTTTGCTATCTCTGAAATCCTCTTGATACCCCATTACCGCCCTAAGGCATCCAGTCAAAAACTTCTTTAGATAGCCCTTCTTTGGCATTTTCCCCTAATCTTTTCTGCACTTTACAAGTGTGAAATTCACCGAAGTCTTCAGAAACAATATCATCTGAATGTCTTGTGGCCATGCAACTATTAGGTACTTATCCATTTGATGCTAAATGTGACATGAGCAAATAAGGTTTGGGAAGGTTGAATGTACTCAAGAATGATGAATGAAGAATACCTTATGCTGTTTTTGGATGAACAACTCTGTTTCTTTCCTCTCTGATACTCCCGGTAAAAACACCATCTGCAGCCAAAACAAAGGGATGGCCTAGGAGCATATCGGCAGTCCACCGTGACTTTGGATCCCTAACCAAGCACTTCTTTAGAAAATCTTCAACCTCTTCTGAGAACCCACTCAGAATTTCAGGTATTTCTTGTGTACTTGCTATTTTAAACAAGATAGTTACTCTTTCTGTATTCCGGTCGCACTTCCAAGGTTCTTTTCCAGTTAATAGCTCTAAAATCATGCACCCTAATGCCCATATGTCGACTTCTGGTTCATAATCTTCATGGCGAATGGACTCCGGGGCCATATACAGTGTAGTGCCTCTGATTCCAAGCTTTCTTCCTTTTTCTGTCAAGCTCTCTCCAGCCTTCTTTACAAGCCCTAGGTCAGTAATCTTTGCAGTTCTTTCTTGGACCATATTCATCTTTCCATTCAAAACTAACGACAAGTCATCCTTTTCATCCACAAGCAGTTTATTATGAGGCTTGATATCACAGTGAACACAACCCTTGTTGCGAATGTAACTCAGACCCAGAAGTACAGAATTTGTGTATTGTCTGACCTCTGTCTCGAGTAGTCCACTGCCGTAACTCTGAATGGGATCAGCCAAACTTCCACCAGTGGCATACTCAAACAAGATGTTGTACCATTGCTCTCCGTCTTCAACCGCAACGTCGTCCCCAAAACAGCGAAGAATGTGAGGGCAACCTTCAAACTGACTGAGCAACTCTCTTTCGATGGAAAGTAATTGGCAATTGTTGACAGGGGCAGATTTGGTAGCCATGAGAGAAGGTAGTAGTTCATTACTTCTTGGTGGTGAAACAACTGTAGCCAGATACACGATTGCAGAACCTCCATTTCCCAATATTTTCTCTCTCCTCCACATTATTTCACTCCAAGAAAACTGTCTCTCTCTCTCCCTCTCTCCTGCAAAACTCTATCTTTCACTCTCAAAGAAACAAACTTCACTCTCTAGAATTTGCTGATAAGTGATAATGTTTACTGTAATTTATATATAAAAGGTTTTGAGTTGCTTGGCATGGAAGCATTATTAGGAGATTGGACATCGGAAGTTGTTTACTTGTTCTTTCTCTAAAGAGTTGAATCCTTAGAGGATTCTATTAGCTCTAAACTTTTAATTTAGTTTGGATTGGATTTCTATGTTAATACATTAGGGTTAACTTCCGAATTTCCTAAAATAAGATTTGATTTATTTGTAAGTATTTTTTATGATAAAAATATGGACATATTTTATGCATATTTATTAAAAATTTTGAATTTATGCAAAAAATTTTATATTTATGTCAATGCTATGAAATGAATAGTTATATATATTTACTAGCATTCAGCCTGTGTGCTATGCTAGGTTAAATATATATGAAAATGATATATATTAATATTTTTATAAATTTTTAGATAATAAAATTATTTTTATTTTTAAATTTTAAGATATATGATAAGGATATTTATTAACATTGTATGAATTTTTAGATCATAAACTTGTCGAGGTGCAACGTGTGTGCCCAACTTAAGTAATTTAAGCTTGTAAAATTTTATGAAAATGATGTGTGTATATATATATTAATATTTTTATAAAGAGAATTTTTTTTTAAGGTTCTTGGTTTTAAGATTTTTTAGTATAAAAGACATTCAATATTTTTAAAATGTCTAAGGTCCCTCACACATTGATTTAGAAAAATTTCAATCTAGAGAAATTCTCTTCAAATTTTTCTGGACTTTCCACTCTCCAGAGAGATTCTTTCTAAATTTCTCTAGACTTCCCACTGTTCAGAGAAATTCTCTCCAAATTTCTCTGGATTTCCCATTCTGCAGAGAAATTCTCTCCAAATTTCTCTGGTTTGCACAAGAGAAATTTGTTCATGAAATTTCTCTACATAGTGCAAATTTCTCTCCAAATTTGATCTGTCCAGAGAAATATGGAAATTTCTCTGGTGTGCAAACCAGAGAATTTCTCAGCATCATAAAATGTTTTGATTAGTGTTTTATCTGAGAAAGATAAAAAGAATTTCCCTCTTGGGAACATATTATGTGGGAAAATTGAAAATTTAAACCATAAAATCTGAATCTATTTTGGAATTTAACTTCCTAAGCTTGTGGAAACCAAGCAGAGAGACATAGAATATGAACACATTATAAATAAATAAATAAAACATGAAAAACAAACTTTCACAATTCCTGTTTAGTTGAACCCAAATATACATCCATCATAATTTTCAATCTTTGCTTTTGTTTGGTTTCCATCAACTAACTTGAATAAAATAGTAATGATAGTAATTTTACCCCCTTCAACTGTGATAATGGCCTGTGCAATGTGTGGACGAGTGAAGCCCTGAATTGGCTGTGGATGTCCAAGTTTAAAGAAAAGGGTAAAAGTAATCGATGAAGCATATCGCATTCAAGGATCGCATTCTCCATTACAAAGCATTCAGTGTCCGAAGGTCCATTATGACTTCTTAGTAGCAGAGTTCTCTTTAATCATTTTATGACTTCTCAGTAGTAGAGTTCACTGAGGCATTTTGTTGAACAGGTGGAGGGCAAGACCAGCAAACACTCTGGTTCGCTCTGGTTGTACAGGGAACTCTCCACCTTGTCGTATAAACACGCCTTACGTTTGTCTTGCTAGAGGATTCAAAAAAGTAGGTGGCGGTTCAGATCAGCGGAGAAGATGAAGAGGGAAGAGAAAGAGAAGAGAGAGTAGATCAGAGAACTCTATGACAGCGACGAGCAGCAAAGAGCGATTGCGCAATCTAGGGTTTCTCTATCTCTTGCACGTCTTCTCTCTCTTTGTCAATTAGTACTATTTTGGTTCTCTCTCTCGCACGTTTTTTCTCTCTTAGTCAAATTTCTCTAATATATGGGTATAGAATTGAGAGACCTTAGACATCATAAAATAATATTGTGGATCTCATACATTACTAAAAATGGGAGAGAGACCTTAGACTAAATTTCTTTATTTTTTTATTTTTTATAAAAAGAAGTGTAAAAAAGTATATTGAAGAGTTGATTTTTTTGCAATAATTTTTTGGCTAAAATATGAACTTCCAAAAATAAGCTTTAGTATTTGTTTGGCATCCAGCTGGAAAAATCACTTTTTTTTTGTTTGTTTTTAATAATATATATATATATATATTTTTTTTTCGTCTAATCTAAAAGGTAACAAAAAAATCACCAAAAAAAAGTTTAAAAAGCCAATTGTTTTTGACATTTTTTTTGTCTGAAATAGATTTTTTTTTCAATGTATATATATATATTTTTGGCTTTATCTAGCTGAGTAAACGTCTATAACTTGTAAAATCTAAAAAACAAAAAGTTCACAAAAAATGAAAAAAATCAATAAAAAAAACTCATCCCACAATTAATAAGATTTTCAACATCAAAATTATGAAAAAAATGATTGAAAATTTTAACATTAAACACCCAACAAAGTTTTATTTTCTAAAATAGTCTTTGTTATTTCCATAATTATCAATTCTATTATGGTAGTAAGTGATTGTAATTCCATAACTATTGTTATATTAATGGAATTCATTAGGAGAATTTAAATATTATTTTAATTTAACTAAATTAGATTTTAGACCAATTGTAAGATAACATATGTATTTTGAAAATTATAAAATTCAGAAAATTGAAAGAAATTGATTGGCACTTCAAGCCTCAAACAGGCCACACTGTTTTTATTTATATTATATAATGTATAAAAAAAATTATCTAAGATAGAACCACCTTAAATTATAGGTCAGATTCTAGTCCTAATCTTATACTTAATCTAATTTTTTTTTATAATTTTGATTAATTAATAAAATAAAATTTTAACTAATTTCAAAAGAAAGCCAAAATTATGCTTTAAAGAGCTTATTACTCAGCTCATAGCTCATAATTTGCAACTATTATGGCATAAAAAAATTATATCTATATATTAAGGACAATTGCAATTTAGTGTATTTTTTTTAAAAAATAATTATACATTCATAAAAAATATATAACTTTAATTATTAATGTTGATAAAATTTATCACCAACGTATAATTATATGGGAAAATTACACTTTACCCCCTCAACTATCACCGTTTTTCACTTTATTCCCTCAAACTAAAAATTGGTACATGTCCCCCTTTCATTTTTTGAAAAATTTCAATCTAACCCTTATATCTCGATTTTGTTAACAAAATTTACGAAAAAAGTGCATGTAATGTAAACCTGTCATATTTATGAGGAAAAATATTTTTTAAAAAATATATCTTAAATATGACATATTCACATCACATATATTTTTTTTTTGACAATTTTGTTAACGTAATAGAGATAAAGGGTTATATTGAAAATTTTTAACAGATAAAAGGGGTATATTGTACTAATTTTTAATTTGAGAGAGTAAGTGAAAAAGGGTGATAGTTGAGGGATACCTAATTATATTTTTAAAAATATACTGATTTGTAATTTATCCTATTTTTGAACCTGTTAACAAAGCAAAGACCATCCCTTGTATATTTTTGGTGGGCCCTGATGGCCACGAGGCCAACTAACATAACCGTAACTTTTGAACTTCCTGCGAATTTTGTCCGACCGTTTAGGAGAAGAGAGAGACTCATCTCTCTCTCTCTCTCAATCGAACTTTGAAATCTCATACATAAGCAATGTATATAACCACCGAAACTTCCTTGAACCCCCACTACCCATTAGAGTTCTGGGTCCTCATTCATTCCTCATAAAACACACTCATCTCGAATAATGCAGCCCAAATCCATGGCTTCACACGATGGTTTTGCTTCCACAACCCTTCAAAGTGTGAGCAAAGACTTCCCCATGACTTTTCTTAACAATGAATTGTTGTTTGAATAGTTTGTTTTATTGGGTTCTGTTCTGTGTGTATACAAGGTGTTTGATGTAATGCATATGTGACTGCCTCGCTTGGCGTTGTACTGTCAATTGGATGTGTAATTGAAAGAGCTACCATTAAATTCCCAAGTGCTCTGTTTGATGAACTTGTTTATGCCTGCAATCATATTGATCTGGAGATGGCTTCCATTGTTCTGTGTTCGATCATTGGTGGTATGTGAACTTTGGTAAAACTTCATGATATGGTGCATTTTGGTGTTTAGTTATTATCTTGGAGTGGGTAATCAAACTTCTTGCGTAATTTTCAATTGACTTTGCAAATTTGTCTCTATGTCTCACTTGTCATTATGTGATCATCTTATTCTAGTTCTTCAAGTTTTTTTGGGTGAATAGTTCTTCAAGTTAATATGTACTACCCTCAAAAGTTGTGAAGCTATACCTTCTAGACGTTTAACACAGGGCCAAAATGATCTTGTAGTATCCTATTCACGTGTTGAATTTGACACTAATTTAAAGAATTACGATTAAAAAGTAGAATGGTTGGGAACAACAACATTGTCAGCAGAGGAACCTGAGGCTCTCTCATTTTGTGCCATTGTTTATGCTCTTGCTGCTATACTTGGTTCTCTTATTTGTTCAGTTCCAGTACTCAGATAAAGCTTGCTTGTAGTATTTGGTTAAACTCCTAAGAAGCACATACACGGACATGGGCACGGGCACGGGACATGGCGATTTTAAAAAAATTAGGATACAAACACATCATGGATATGACCCCCCCCCCAAAAAAAAATGGTACTTGGTAGGGACATGGGACTTTTAGGGTTAAAACGAATATAAATAAAAATTCCTATATTATTTCTTTGATTAGAGTTCAATCTCTCAGCAAAATTAGGTTTGAAAATTATTAAGAAAAGAAATAGCTCCCTTCTAGCTTTATGATGTACATAGGTTGAACTAGAAAATTTGTTGTGCATTGCACCCATTCATTTCATATAACTTTTTCCTTATATATATATATATATATATTGCGCTATATGCCAGAGGTTAGAGTATCTAAACTCGCATGTGCATCTGTAAATGGATGCTATGGAAGTGAAGTAGAGCTATAGAAGGTTATGTGGAGTCTAATATTTTGAGTTTGTGTGTTTTGGAATTATGATTTGAGTGTAAAAAATTT